CATTGCAGCCACTGACATAAAATAATCCTTGAAAAGCACATACATGTATATTAAAGGCTTCCCAAAAATCAGATGTGAGGAGCAAAAGCTATATAATTTTATAAAAACTTTAATGTAGTGTACTTTTTCAGAAGTGCTTTGCCCTTTTTATTAACAAATGCGTCAAACATATTTGCATACTTTAAACAAAGCCATAAGTTGAAATCACTCCAGCATCAGCATTATTTTACTTGAACCATCTGGCTGAAACTTTATCTTATAGTTTTTACCAGAACTGTCCCATGGGCTGTGATTAGTTAGTGTGCACCGGGTCACCTATGGAAACAAAAACATTTCAAACACATTATTAATTCTAATCAATTTAGAAGATCATAATTTACCACTAAATGTAAAATACGATATGCAATTCATGTTTTTTTTTTTGTTGTTTTTTTAGAGTTGTGTGGAAAAAAAGATTTACAGCATGGCTAGTACCTTAGAACAAACGTTTCATATCCCATGATGGTGCTCATTACCCTCTCAGCCCCACCATCATGTTTCACTGCCATGTTACTACAGAGGCCCAGAAGGTCCAAAGCAAACACTCGCTCCAAAGCCGGCCTTTCACTTTCAGCCACTGTAATCTGGATGTGAGGTACGAGGTGTTCAGTTCACTGCAATTTGCAATTTGTGCTGCTAGATATAACTACATCCCACACACTGGACCTGCAAGCCAGCATAATGCTAGAGAAAACAGCCGGGGCTTTGGCTGCCAAATTAAAAAATTTGGGAGCAGAGCTGTAGCATTTTTTTTTTTTGTGGCGTCTAAACCAAATGAGCAGATAATACAAAAACCTGCTGAGACAAGCTTTGCTGTCGTTACCGATCAAGCTGCTTCTGAAACACAGGCACTGAGAAAAAGCAAGGCTTAATCTTACACACAAACAAAGATAGCAACAATGAAACTGGTGCAGTAAAAAGTATTTGTTTACCACAGCTAGATTATTAGATTAGCACTGGTACTGAATAAATAGATGGATGATTTAAAGACTTTTATTTCCTTATAGAAAATGTCTTTTTTTACACACAGCATTGTTTGCGCCGCTGAGAAGTAAGATGTGTGTCTGGCCTCAGTTTGAACCCAGCAGCCTAATTGATGAAAAACTACACTTAGGGAATTAACTGAAATGTATGCCGAGATGAAGATCAGATGTTAGGAAGACGAGGGTGGACCAAAGGCCATGGTGTTGGATTTCTGCTCATTTCATTCAGATGAGAACATTTGATGTAGGACCTCAGTTTCTGCTCAACGTAAACACACAAGAGCTCGCAACAATAAGAGGTGTATTAATGATATAATTTGTTATAGGTTGCTAACACACCCGTAAGCTCTTTCCCATTAGCACTAATTCACAAAGTAATTACTGCACCTTTGTCAATAACTGATAAATGCATCAGGGGAAAAGTGGCGAGGAGCCAATCTTTGCTCCATCTCTTGTCTTACAAAACAACACATATGTCACATGTGGAAATCATACGTTCTCAAGACAAAAAGCCAAATGTAAAAACTGTAATAATAGCACCCCTATTGGTGGATATGTCTGCTTTTTTTTGGCTCGTTGTGTAGATCATGAGTTTATACCCCTTAAGTATCATCTAAATACTCTTTATGGTTTGGGCTGCAGTATGACTTTTCGGGTCGGAAGAAAAATAATAATAATAATAAAAAACATAGCGAAAACAATAGGGGTCCAAGCCCCCTGAGCAGGCAAATGGCAGATCTCCTGGTTAGCTAGCTTGCCTTAGCGTTTTGCCTTCGCATAACTCACACATTTTAACATTTTTTTTACTTCTCCTTCGAAACTTAATATTAACATACTAACTACACAGAGCTGTTTCTGTTGGGAGTGCACCAGAGGTGCTGCTGCTGTTGCTATTTATGCTTGTAATAACCACGCAATGGAAACTTGATTGTGCTTTGAAAGTTTATAAAATATCATGAACATCTATGAAATAGCTGAGATCACATGTAAAATCATATACGATTAACATGTGTTTGGCACATGCCTGCCATGTGATTGTGATTCATAATTTCATATTTTTAAAATCATACGTATGTGGCCACATGTGAAAAACATGGGTAAATAATATTTTAGTGTGGCAACAACTACAACTAATTGCTGCCATCTTTAAACAACTTTAATTTCAAACATTTGTAGCGGTTTATAAGGAATTTTAGTGAACTTTTACAGCAGAGCTCCTCAATGATTGGGTTGCAACCTGATGCCGTGGAGGTACTGCAAAGGGTATATATGTCATGTATATGACATGTATGTATATGTATGAAAATGTATATATACTTATTATACATTTTTTATAAAAGTTATATCTTTTAACATACTTATTTTCCATGAATATAACATGTAGCAAATTGATAATTGGAGGCATAAATACTGTATGTCCAACACTTCCAGCAGAAACAAATGCTGTGGGGTAATAAGACCTAGATTAAGTTTGTAAATAATGTTTGCATGAACTGCTATGACAATTTTGAGATTTAAGTAGTTTTAAGACAATCCTCTCACTAGATGTTGTTAGAAAAATACATATTCAATAGACTAAAGTCAATATTAAAACCACCATTGTTAAATAAAATGATTTGTAGAAGGAATCAAACCATACAACACCAGAATTCTGGAACTGAGTGTGGTTTATTGCCACCGGAGCTAACAGGAAACCACACTGGTGAAAAACCAGGAAGTACATCAATTTATACATGATTCTTCAATGCCTGTGTTCGCCCCCTACTGACCTACGGCTGAATCACAGGCATTCAGACAAAAATCTCATCTACTGTTATCATAACGTTTTAATTATGTGATGTTATAATTCGGACATGTAACTAATCTATATCAATCAAAACATAATAGATTAAACATTGTCAACATTATAAAAAGGAAAACCTAAAAATATGGTGTTGTGCTTTTAACATCAGTACTAACCTCTAATAACTAAATTTCTTCGATGTTATAACAGAAACTAGCTCTCAGTCTGCTAGAACTAATTCCTGTTCCTCCAAGCTAAGGTCAAAAGATCTACAACAGGTAAGATATTAATTGTTCATAACCTATCCACATATCTCTGCCTCAAATGATCTGAACACAGTTGAACATAAAGCCAGACGGTTTTAAACCTCATATTAGAACTGAGACTGAAAACAAAAATAGGTTCATCAAGTATGCTTGCATTTCAATTTTTTTTTTTTTTTACAAACAAGACATGTTAATGTAAATGTGTCAGCTGTCACCCAGCTCAGTCATCAGTTAATGTCAAATGTTTCATTGGATTATCAGAATATTAAGACAAAGTGATGCATAACGAGATTATTAAGTGATGCAAAGCAAATTCAGTGTCTCTTTTGCTTGTGATTCGGAAAATGAAAAAGTAGAGAACGATATTTTGTGTTTATGCGTCTGCATTTGATTTATTCACTGCGATGTGAGTATTTGTTGCATGAAGGGTGTCTGTGGATGTGTGTGTGCACGCGCGCATGTGTGAGTGAGTGTGTAAAGTGGCCTCGGGGCTTCAGCGAGGGGGAACTGCCAAGGGAATTCTCTTAAAAGCTGAAACCCTCAGCCAAAAGGGAAACAAGCACAACCTCAGCCTCTCATCTTTCCTTTCTGTGCCAAAGACATACAACCACAAACATGCACTACTCAAGCTAATGTATTCAACAAATCTGCATTCACAAATTTTATTGAAACTTTTGCTACGCTTACGACTGTGTGCCTCATAAACCGAAACATGGAATGCATTGTTAGTGCTCCAGAAAGCATTCAGAATAAAAAGGAAAAGTTAATTTTTGAAAAAAAGTTCATCAAGCCAAGCTCTTTTCTGAGTTTTTTTTTTCAATTTACCTAACCAAGCAAATAAAACACTTGATCTTTTTCTTTATTCCTTATTCAGAATTTCTGATTATTATTAATATTTTCTTTGTTTGGTTTTATCTCCCTTAAAAAGATGTAAAATTCCACAAACAGTTACAAATGGAATGTCAAAACTGAATTTTAACATTTCTGTACTGATGCGGTCATCAAAAAGGTTGTATTTATATACAGCCTTCACACCAATGGGGAAAAAATGCTATCTCAACATTTTGGACCCACTTATCCTCTGCAATGCTATCAAAGTTTTAGATACTGGAAAGACGTCTTTGACATCACATTCATGTTTAGTTCTTTTTAGCAGATTCTCAGTCAGACTTGGGTTTTTATGGTAAGTGGACTGGACTTAGTGCATTTCTACTAGACCACTCGAGAGCTTTACAGCACAATAGGTGCCCTCATTTACCCGTTCACACACATTCATACAGCTCTCCACGACATCTCTACAAAGTTAATCTGAATAAATCATTCTATAGAGTCTAATAAGTCCTTCAGACCACATTCATACTCAAGGATCCACAAGGCAATAAGAGGTTCAACGTCTTGCCCAGGGACACTGACGTGACTGCATTCTGATGGAATCAAACTCCAATTTTCACATTGGAGGATGACAGCTCTAACCACTGAATCACAGCCTCCTTTTGCTGGTAACTCTACCCTGAAGTGTTTGTGTTGTTTTCCGTCATGCATTTAGAATAGAATAGAATAGAATAGAATTCAACTTTATTGTCATTGCACCGTCACAAGTACAAGCAACGAAATGTAATTTGCATCTATCCAGAAGTGCTATACAGGGTATAATATATATTTACAGATGTGCAGAGGTTACTATAAAAAATAAGATGTTCAGTATAAAAACAGTACAATAAAATAAAAGAAATTATGGGCGCTGTGTGCACATATACAGATTATGCAGATTGTACAGAATGTTAGGAATGAATTGTGAATGTATTAGTAGATTTGCAATGTAGATTGTTAATAGCAAATAAGATTTCCAGATTATATACAGAGTATGTATGACTGTGGGGACAGTCCGTATGTTATTGTAACATACTGCAGTATGTTATTGTTTTTTTTGGGGGGACGGGGGACGGGGGGGGTACAATCCTTCTAGTTGTGTCAGGAGGCGTTCATGAGCGTGACAGCTGTAGGAAAGAAGCTGTTCCGATGCCTGGTGGTTCTGGTCCGTAGGCTTCTGTAACGCCTCCCAGAAGGCAGGAGGGAGAAGAGTGTGTGTGCGGGGTGGGTGGAGTCCTTGGTGATTTTACCAGCCCTTTTCAGACACCTCTTCCTGTAGATGTCCTTGATGGCAGGGAGCGGTGCCCCGGCGATGTACTGGGCAGTTTTCACCACCCTCTGCAGCGCCTTCCGGTCGGAGACAGAGCAGTTCCCATACCAGACTGTAATGCAGTTGGTGAGGATGCTCTCGATGGTGCAGCGGTAGAAGTTTGTAATGACCTCTGAGGACAGGTAGTTCTTCCTCAGGGTCCTCATGAAGAAGAGGCGCTGGTGTGCCTTCTTGATGAGTTTGGAGCAGCTGGTCGTCCAGGTCAGATCCTTGGAGATGTGGACCCCCAGGAACTTAAAGCTGTCTACACGCTCCACCTCTGTCTACACGCTCCACCTCTGTCCGCTTCACCATTCTGTTTTAGATTCACTTTCTTGTTGCCCAGCCGAGTCCCACTACAGAACAAGTTTTCTTTTCTGCAGACTGCTTGATGTTTTCCTCCACAATCTAAATGTAGACCTTTTCTTCTGAGGCTTTTTACGTTTAAAATATATGTACCTCTCCCACTGACTGAGCAAAACAAAAAACATGAAGGTGCAGCACTAACATGTTTGACCAACTAAAGCACTCAATATTTATCTTACGTAACCACAGAATTCATGACCAAAAGCTTTCTTCTTTGCCCAGCTGAGCTTTTAAGAAGAATAAGCAAGTATTTTTGTTCCTATTTTAGAGAAATGGAGCCCTTTTTTGCTGGTGTCCATGGAGACCAACCATGTGAACTGTCTGATGATGTCTCTAGACTGAGATGCTGAAACCAGGGTTGGTCAGACTCATCAGGAGGCCATGCTGAAACTTAGCAAAGGAGGAAATTTCTAATGATGACCTCTATCATTTTTTTAGTGATGCTTCTACATACTACAAATTATAATCCGAACCATTGGTTTTTAATTGTTTCTCTTTTTATTACCTTTCTATCAAGTTTAAAACACTTTCAATAAATAAATAAAAAAAAAACAAAGCCTTGCCATTTATATAAAAAGTTTGATTTTGATATCCAAAAAAAAACAAATTAAATAAAAAATAAATAAAATACATTAAAGCTGCAGTTGGCAACCTTTATAAAAATGTATTTTCAACATATTTGATAAAACTATCACTATGTCCTGACAGTAGAATATGAGACATATAATATGTGAGCTCATCTGGCTCCTCCCAGTGGTCCTACTGGCATTTGAAGAAATACATTGCTCCCGGTCAGAAGCAGCCAATCAGAGCACGGATCATTGTCTTATCAATATGAATCACACTTGCTGTGCTGATGTCACAGATACAACCTAACATTTCAAGAATACTGCCAAACTGAGAGTTCTGAATATGCCATAGCAGTTCATCTGCTGTCATCAGCCTCCTTGAGCTGAGCTGCTCATGGCAGGCTCTGCTGTGGGGAGGGGGGGGAGCTGTGGAGGGAGGGCTGTAGCGCAGTGAGGGATCTGTAAGATGTGCTTGTTCAAATTTTCAGGCTAAGTCCTTGTTTTTTTTTTTTTTTTTTTTTTTTTTTTTACCTCCCTACTGCTGCTTTAACAAATTATATTAAGGTTTGACATTGATATGATACTAGTGTATCTAAAAACACTCCTTATAAACTGTTGCAAACTCAATCACAGCTATTAGCAATTGAAACTTTATAGTTATTGCCAACTCTGCTGCATGGCAGGGTCACATTTTCTGTAGTGACACCAGGATCAGAGCTGAAAGAAGAGTTGTACATTTCAAGGTATAAACTACTCTAACTAAATACCTAAAAGTCTTTTTAAATATACATTTTTTATTAGATCAGACAAATCTATCACAACACGACACTGCTGACATTAACCCTGCAACCAACATGAAACTAGCTAACACTGGGTAATCTTTTAGAATAAAAAAACTCATTTGGTGGAGGCATCAGGCCACAAAATGAAAATATCTCAACACCTGATTCCCTGTGGTGTCGCACAAGTTCAATTTTGTATTGATTCTCCAGCTGGCAAGTTTGGGTCCTGCTGACCTCCAAATGGTCTAGATAAGGCTGGTGGTTTGCAAGTGCTCTTGTAATAGTGCATTCCAGGGTTTTCCTCAGGAATTCAACCAATCACTGTACACTGTACATCACAACACATCATCGTTTGTGTCACTGTGACCAGTCACAGATGTGCTACTCACTGCAGGAAACCTTGTGAAGTAAGAGCAGAAAAAGACAAAATAAAAGTACTTCTTAAATTTACAATTGACATCAGTTTCTGCAGTGCAGTCAAAAAAGAAAAAGAAATTGTTGTGGTTAAAAAGCACTTTAAAAACTATGTTTGCGAGTGAATGGCTCTGTAAGAACCAGATGAGGCTCATTGAAAGATATACAGTGGTTTGCAAAAGTATTCATACCCCTTGAACTTTTCCATATTTTGTCACATTACAACCACAAACATAAATATATTTC